AAACCCACATAGTAGACCTATATTTTCCAGGTGTTTCCAAGACCAATCGGAGGTCCAATGGGAAAACTGGGCCACTGGGCTGTCACGTCTGACCATGGCACATCTGGTCTGAAAATCACCAGTTTTTTGGCAAAATCCTCAAATCCCCATGATCATCAGTTTTCCAAATTTTCTGTGTCCATGTTTGGGGAAAAACCACTAATGTCAACCCTGGATTAATATACCCTTAGGCTGTTTAATTGGGGGGGTACCATTTAAGTATTGGATTATGACTATTGGAGGAGTACCGGAGTACCCCCCTAATTAATAAACCATGGTTTATTGATCGGGGTTGGCACTAGATGTTTAAAACAAAAAAACACCCATCGAAGTATGAAACGAATCAGAAAAAATGGCAGCTGCCAGCCATTTCTGTCTCCTGCACGGAGTAGTTTCCAGGTGTCACGTCCGGAATGACCAGGGAGTAGAGGTGCTGGCCGATGGGCAGATGACGGCGCCACCGATGGTCATCCAAAAACAGGTCCAGTATTATGCCAGGACTGAAGAAAAAGAACTCACATTAACACTCAAATTTTGGAAAAAAAACATCCACTTTTGTTGATGATATTGTCCCAAGCAGTAACCACAACAACTTTCGATGTTCAAAATCATCTTCCAAATCCAGCTGAATCCTGCGTCCCGTCTTCCATATTTATTTTGCAACAGGTGTATATCTGGCTAGTGGGCCTCTGGCTTCTGCGCCCACAAATTGACTCATTGACAGTCACAATCTATCACAATCAAGATATCCCTTATAAATCGATATAAATATTAATCTATCACGATTCATACCCTATAAGGGATATCTAGAGGGGGATACCCCGGCTTGGTTGTTGAAACAACCCTGTTGCTGAAGCAGTGCTAGTGGGAACAGAATCCCCAGGCACGGGAGAGAATCCAAGATATTTGTCAGCCTCCACAATGTGAGGCCCCCAAGATAGCTAAGTTGGTGAACATAAGTCCAATTTCACTATGGTTTGTGGCATTTATAGCTATAGTTGCTGGGGCTTATAAACCAACAAACATCACTGGGGGGCCTCACATTGCAGGTATATGCCATGATCAATGGGAAATCTCCAGGATCCAATACATAGAGGTACGTGGTACTGTATTAATTATATATGTTTGGCCATATGAATTGTGAGGATATTCACTGAAATTTGGGCCTGAAAAATAGGCCAAACATATATGGAATCGGTACCTCCAATAAATCGGTTCCTGAGATGGCCTTTGATGATTTTTCAAAAGACAAACAAGATTGGGACATGCCGAAGACACAAAGTAACAACACACAACAAGACAATCCAACATCTGGTTGGTTGGTGGTTTCAACCCATCTAGTTGGGATTATTATCCCACCTAGGCTGTAACATGTAAGAAAGATAATTAAAACCACAAACCCAACATCTTTCACCAACAACATTGTTTTAACAATCATCGACGAATATACACAGTGTGTACTCAGATCTGGACATACCCAGTACCCTTTCATTGGATGCCTTTGAAAGGAATTGTAAAACAGTTCCCACGGTTTATTTTTGTTAATCCTTACAGTTATGGCCATTTATTAGTTATAACTGGTTATAAATGGGATTATACATTCTATAAATGGGGTTATAAGTACTTATAACTGGTAAAGGGCCTTAACTGTAAATGAATCATCATGATTGAATCATCCTTAAATCATAGGTTTGTTCAACAAATTCGTATTTTCCCATAAAATTAATCCCCACCAACCACATCATCAGCCAGGTCAACTGGCCCAACTGGCTCCCCGTTTGTGCTGACTGAATCAACCCATTGAATAAACCAATACTTCTGACTTCTATCATGTCGTTTGCTTCAGTCTTGTATAGCAGCTCCAACTGGCTCCTCATGTCTAATAGTGAATATATATATATATACATACCCTCTGGTAAACTAACATAACCATGGAAAATCACCATTTTTTGTGGGGAAATCAACTATAAATTGCCATGGCTTCAAAAGCTAGGATAAATTACCAGAGGGTATGTATATATACAATGTGAGAGCCCCCAGTGATAAGTGGGTTTATAAGCCCCAGCAGCTATAGCAATAAATGCCATAAACCATAATTAGTGAAATTGGACTTATGTTCACCAACGTAGCTATCTTTGGGCCCCACACATTGTATATATATATATATATGGATACAACAGGTTCCTAATAGTTACATCCATTCAACACCAGTTATGTCATGTTCTCTTTTTTTCTTTCAATAGCCCTAATCTTTGAAGAATAATGTGGGAAACACAATTTCAGGAACCATCCCCCAGTCATCAACATTTTTATCGCTGGTATGCTTACCATTTCCAGTCATGGCTGGTTTATGGCATTGGTTTTACCCACATTACATACTATCTAAGCTGGGGATAAGGCCATATATCCCCATGTCCATATATCCCCCCCAAAAAAATATTATATATATATGGCAGTGGGTCAAAACCTTGTATCCCTGGTGAACCCCAAAATAGCTGGTATTTATGGATGTTCATCCCACTAAAAATGGTATTAATAGGTATTGACCCATACCCATATATACACCAACTATTTGGGAATGGTTTATACCAACTATTTATTAAAACTATGGGAATTTCCCCAGCAGCGGAACCGCTGCCGGACCTGGTTCCCAGGCACCATAGTGGCACTGGCCAGCACGGAATTGGCCGAGACCAGCTGCAACGTGTCCACCTGCGGAGTGGATCATTGGGGAAATTCCATGGGAACTTGGGTTTTTCGGAGCGGGTGAATCCATGTTAATCCACAAAATTTGAAATGGTCCACATGCCATCATCACACTTTGTTATGTTACTCTCTGGTAATGACTAACATAGCTATGGCTATGGAAAATGGCCGAGTTATAGCTCATTTACCCATCGAAAATGCTGGTTTTCCATCGTTTTTTCTATGTTTACGAGGGTACTTGAAACTTGGTGGCTCACCCCACTTTACCAAGTGGGTTATAACCCCAGTGCTGTACATGGGAAAAGTAAGGTTAATCCACTCAAAAAACTGGGGTGAACGAACCCACAACCACGAGCCGCGGGTACTTCGTCACCAAGTAGCAAGTGCTTATTCACAGATTTAAGATGATTAAAGCTAGTCGAAGATGTTCCCATCTTTTTCACTGGACCCAGAGATCTAATACAATAAACCAGGATTTCGTTTGGGAGGTATTAATTGAAAAAGGAGATGAACTTCTTTTGAACATCTGAATCTTTAGTTTCAGAGAAACATTATGGTTGAAACACGTTGAAACTATGGGTTTTAAACCTAAAGTTGGAGTGGCTTCTACTTCCCTATGAATACAATTCCGCGAATGCAAAGCAAGTTAAGTCTGAGCTGGTTAGGTTGATCTTCATGCATGTATAGCAACAACAATAGCACACTACCCGGAACACGAAGCTGCCAGCTACCCTCTGGTCATTTCACAGTTTGCTATGGAAACCCTAGGCCATTTATAGATGATAAACCTGTTGATTTACTTGTTAAAAAAATGTTATTTTCCGGTTCGCTATGCTTAATGACCAGAGGATGCTATATGGTGAAACCCAGTATCTGGTGGTGTGCATTGTCTCTCAACTTTCCTAACCGGGTAAGCACTAACGGTTAGCATGGACCAATGGAGTGGTAGCAACTTGTCCGGACAAATCATTCACAAAACCAAAACCTAAGAGGTTGTAAACTCCATTAACTAGTTCTAAGTAACTATAGTTATAAGTTAAAAGTACCATAAACCATAGTTATTGGAGTTATTAACCAGCTTAGCTATCTAGGGGGTCCCACTCTGTATTGAAAATCACCATTTTTAATGGGTAAACAATGGTAAACTCATTATTTCTATGACCATTTATTAGTGAACTAACTGGTTATTTGGCTCTGGGATAATATATACAGTCAATTTTGATGGGGTTATAACTTAGTACTTATAACTGGTATAACTCGGGCCTTACCTCTGGAAATGACTCACAGAACTATTGAAAGATCCACCATGCTATTAATGGGTAAATCAACTATTTCGACTGGGCCATGGCTTCAATAGTTTTTTGTATGTTTACCAGAGGGTAACTTCACCGGAAACTTCCCGAGATCCGGCGGGTCTTTTTCGCTGACAGCTGTGGCAACTGCTGCTTGACGCCTGCGAAACAAATCCTGTTTTGTGTGGTCTCGGATTCAACGCGACCGGGTGATTAGGAATGCTTCACTTATGGCTTTCCCAGCAGTTTCCTGGAATATTTCACAGTAGTGCTTCATATACATCTCCATGTTTCATAGGTAGCTTCTCATGTTTATCAGCTATGGGCCATGGCTTCCATAGCAAAGTGTGAAATCATCAAGGGGTATACCTATGTATACCTCCACTACAGTTAAAGTCCGAAATACCAGTTACTTTTATGGTTATAAATGATTATATATGGCTATTTGGGGTGACTTGCTGACTTAGAACTGGTATTTTGGGCCAGAACTGCAGAATTCAGTGAACAAACAGGGTTTCATGTATTGGTGCTCTGACTGTATGTGCCATGGTGGAAACATGATGGCTTATTGTCATCCCACCATCATTAGAGATTCGTTGTAATGGGTATATATATATATGTATATATAATGTGTGTTGCTTGCTACAAGCAATGACATTCGATATGACATCTACGATGTGGATCTTTTCTGGGTAGTTCTTAAATGTTTCAAATCACATTGCATCAGTATCTCTGCACCTTTCTCTGATTGTACTAAAACAAAATATAGAAAATAAGATACTACTGTATGAGATATTGCCGTAAAGGATATAGTATCCTAACAGATATGATACAAAAAAAAACAGGTATCACATAACATTATCTGATATATAATGATATATATATATACATACATACATATACATAAGTATATTTGATTTCGGTGATGGAATATGATGGAATATGATGAAATATGATCGATACTAGGTGATATCAGAAACGCTCTTACAGCACCCTTCGAAAAACGACTGTATATAAGGATATGTGATAATGTGATATCATATAATATTCTGCTATCGCAGCACTCACTCTGCAAACATGGATGCTCTCACAGCACCATCATCGATGCATGCATTGCAGCACAGTTGACAATACATATCGGTACTGGTGCTATCACAGCACCTTCAATTACCTGCTGAATGGAATGCCAAACCTGCGATGTGGTGACAAAATGTGGATGTACTCTCTCAGCACATCCAAATAACATACTCTCTCAGCATGGCACTCGGCGATACTATCACAGCATCGCCTGTTGTTTCTGATTCCATGTAAAAATGGTTGTATAATATTGTAGAATACATGTTGTAAAACCAGGAAGGGGAAATCCCATAACATCTAACAAGATCCTTAATCATTCAAGAAACATCAACAATAAAAACAGAAGACATGATAAAAGATGATACAACCATGTTGCTGATGTGAAAGCACTCGGCCATACTATCACAGCATCGCCTCTTGTTTCTGATTCCATGTAAAATAGTTGTATAATATTGAAAAATACATAGCCTGACTTTCTGGGCCGTCCTGCCCCCCACCCCCTCAGCCCCTCAAACCGCAGTGCCGCACACTGCCGCACACTGTGCATTAATTGACATTTATTGGAACAGAGTAAGAAATATAGTATTGAGTATTGAGTCCACGTCACTGAAAAAGGTGTAGTGAGCATCCACATGATTTCAAAAGATGTATGCAATCAATGGGAAACCAACAAAACCCGTCTCCACTTTGTTCTGGGTAACCTCCCAATATATCAGAATATATTATACAATGTGAGGCCCCCGTTTACGATAGCTAAGTTGGGGTTCACATAAGTCCAATTTCACGAATTGGTTTATGCCATTTATAGCTATAGTTGCTGGGGCGAATCTAAACCAACTTATAACTGAGGGGCCTCACATTGTAATATATATATATCAGAAAAGCACACATTATAATTAATAATACTGCCATCACAGCATCATTGGCAGTCAAATACCCAAAGTGATCGCACAGCACTTTGCCCAGGAAACTATACAGATGTATGATACCCACAAGATTCCATCTTATATTTACCATCTATTTTGAGCAGTTTCAGGAAGGGACTATGGACCTTAGATGTAGAATGGTTACATTATTTGATCTGTTGTTTTACCATCTATTTTGAGCAGATTCTGCAAGGATCTGTGAACCTTAGGTGTAGGATGGTTACATTTTTTTCTTTGGCTTTACCATATGTTTTGAGCTGTTTCTGAAAGCAACTATGGACTTTAGGCGTAGGATGGTTACATTATTTTACCTTTGGCTTTACCATATGTTTTGAACTGTTTCTGCAAGCAACTATGGAACTTAGGCATAGGATGGTTACATTATTTTATCTTTGGCTTTACCACATGTTTTGAACTGTTTAGGCAAGCAACTATGGAACTTAGGCATAGGATGGTTACATTATTTTATCTTTGGCTTTACCTTACCATATGTTTTGAGCTGTTTCTGCAAGGAAATATGGACCTCAGGTGTGTGATGGTTACATGATTTTATCGTTGTTTTTACCATCTGTTTCGAGCAGTTTCTGCAAGGAAATATGGACCTTGGGTGTAGGTTGATTACAAACATCTGCAAACTTCTTGGAGACAGTTTTCGGACAATAGGTCGGACATTGAACAATGTTTTACCTCCCCCCGTATCCGTAGAGACGGGGTGGGGGGGTTCGGAGGGAGGTACGGGGTGACGTATCTCTTACGGACTTTCACCACCCCCTAAATGTAAATGTAAATCTTCCGGGGCACAGTTTTTGACGTAGGAGGGGTCTAACATATATATATATAGCCTTCCCCATCGGGAAAAAATACCTGAAATGGCCATTGAATTGATGATCTTCCTCCAATGTGGGTATCTAATCCACTCCAACTTGTGACTGGTTGGTGGTTTCAAACCCTCTGAAAAATATGAGTTCGTCAATGGGAAGGATTATAATGATTATCCCATATATTATGAAAAACAAAAAATGTTCCAAACCACCAAGCAGTTGAGCATGGCACATATCAATCTTAGGATTTTCATGAGCTCCAAACATTCAAACATGATCCCATTCTGTCGATTCAACCCCCAAATGCCAGATTTTAACCTGGATTTTGACCTTGTAAAGGCATCCAACAGATTGAGCACTTGAACTTAAATGGTGATGATGACTCCGTAAAGAGTTCTGATGTTTTCCTCCATGGAAAAGATTCAAAAACGAAGGACTGGACACCTTCGCCATCAAATTTCATCAAAAAAAAGTCCCATCCGCCAGCGTTGCTGTGTCCATCAAGGGAGCTTTCTGTGAACGCAGGCATGGCCGTTACACATCCACCTGCGCAAACTGGTCCGCTGGGCTGTGTGGTGCCACCAAATGCGTATGGAAATTTGATAGAAACACGCAGGGAGAAACCCAATTGAGGCCAAGGGTAACGGACGAAAGCTAGCTGTGGGCGATAACGAGAGAAGACAATGTAAATGGAACAGGAGTGAAATGGAATCCTGCTAGTTTCAGATGGGCATCTGCTCCTTCAGGTTGTGACGCAGCCATTTATTGCATGAAAAGATGCAACAACAAACTTGTTGGAATGCGTGTTGAAATAAGTAGACAAAAACCGGGCACCATGATCTACAAATGTGTACTTTTGGAATGGGGGCATCTCACAAATCATCCAGGGGGAGCTGCAGCTGACATGCAATGCTTCGAACCATCGTGAAACTCAGCAGATTTTCATGATTAGATTTCATTTGTCACCAAATTTCAATCTTGCTTGTCTTCTGTATCAATTTAATTTATCAATCTACATGTTCTAGGCCCTCGTTCTTGGGTCATATTTCGACCAACTGATGAAGTGGCAGCCCTAAGAAATCCCTCTCTAACGCACAAGAATTAGAGATACAAACAGCAAACAGTTTTTTTTTGGATTTATGGGGATGCAATGGGACATACCCTCTGGTAAATTAACATAGCTATAGAAAATCACCATTTTTAATTGGTAAACCATCTATTTCTATGGGCCATTTTCCATAGCTATGTTAGTTTACCAAAGGGTAATTGAACCTCAAACCAAACCTTCACATATTTCCTTTCTATTGAAGTATACCCTTCTTCGTGTTTTCATATTTTCCCAGTTCCATCCACTTACATTACATCTGGTAGTTCAACAACACATTTATTCTGATGGGTTACTAATTTTACGGGCAGGACTGAGGGTTGTCCCGGTATGGTCGTATGAACGTCAGTGGGAAGCTCATTTCTCTGCGCAGGCGCAGTGTTTTATGACTCTGGTACATCTGTGAGTTAGCGTAGTCTAAGACGATTTTTTGGAAAAAATCAGTCAGAAAAGTGAACCCTCTGCGGACTTCACGCGTTTCGGCCATTTCCACTTTTTCAATCTTTTCCACTTTTCAAAACTCCGAATCTTATAACTTCTGTAAACCCTAAATGAAACCCCTAATAGAAGTATGCGTATATGTTCCATGGGGCCGGGTGATTTGGAACCAATGGGTTGCTAGCTCCGCTCAACCTCGGAAAACGAGGGGTTGTCCCTTCGGGACAACCCCTCGTCCTGTGGGTAATTTTAAAATAATGTTTTTGCATTTCGCAAACTAAAGAATGATCTCTGGTGCCAATTCAGAATGAAATATATAACCTTCTGACAGGTCGCTGAAACATGGAACATCATATCAGCAGCTATCTGTAACAAATTACCGGAAGGTAAATTTTTTAGAAGATATATCGTATATATCCTAACGATATTTCAGATGTTCCCAGTTCCGGAGGTGATTTTCTCCAGCAGCCAGTCAAAAATTATCCTCTTGTAATCACACGTGGAATTGGAAAATTCCACATAAATCATGGTTTTCATGGGAAACTCATCCATAAAATAGTATACCCTCTGGTAAATTAACAGTTCGCTATTGAAGCCATGGCCCAGTCGAAATAGTGAGTTTTCCCATTGATAGCATGGTTATTTTCCATGGTTTTTTGTATGTTTTTTGTATGTTTCCTTTTTTTTACGGACACCATCTACTATAAATGGAGCTTTTCATCAGAAAATCATCGAAGTAAATGGAGCAAAATTGACACCGGAGGGTACAATTAGTGGGCTCCCAAACATTATGTGAACGTTGGTTTAGGAGCCCCAGTAACTATGGTCATCAGTACCAAAAACCATAGTTATTGATAGTTATAAATAAGCTTAGCTATCCTTTGGGTGCCTCACTTTGTAGGGTTTATGGTAGATATTCTTTCCAGTACTCTCTGGTAAACTAGCATCCAGGAAACAGGAAAATTATAGTTACTGGAGTTATGTTCACCAACTTAGCTATCAACAATCAGCTGCAGCTATCGAAGTATCTCTACGGCAGCGCTCATGCGCTGAAGGCCCTGGGCCCATGGCAGGTGTTCACCACCTGGGATGAAGCAGTTCTGGTGATGTTGCGAAAAACCATGTTCTTAAAATGGGGATTCAATGGAATATTGATTGGGATATTCTTAAGATTATATGGCATACAGATTTTGAGCATTGAACATGGGGATTATATCTATATATTATAAGATGTATTATATATATACACCATCAAAATCGATTTGACTAATTAATTGTACATGTATATATATATATACTATTGTTATATCCCCATATCGAAAATAGATCCCCAATGATTAATTAACCATATCGGGATTTATTCGAATTTTAGTTGGACATTATTAAGATGATATGGGATTTACGCTCTGTATATATATATATAATATAAACCCAACTATAGCCTTTGACAAACCCTATAGATGAATTTTCCCTCCGGTAATGACTAACAGTAGTTTGCTATGGCATAGACAGCCCATTTAGTTCGACGTTTACCTATTAAACATTGTGATGTTCAATAGTTATGTTAAATTGCCAGAAGGTCTGTCCTCTTGATTGTACCATATCACACCTGGAAAGAAACAAAAAAAACAACACAATTGCCGTTGTTTTTTGTAATTCATTGACCATTATATGTTATACACCTGGGAAAACTATGATATTTCCCTAATCTGAAATGAAACTATTTTGGAAAATCGTGACACCTTCTGCCCTTACTATTCGCATCATAAATCAGTGAGGTCGCGACCAGAAAGGTGAGGTCGGGAAATCATCTACTTGGTGGCTCATCCCACGGCTCGTAAGTGGGCTATAACCCCAGTGATTTACATGGGATAAGTAGGGTTCATCCACTTATAACTTGGGTTATAACCCATTTACTAAGTGGGATGAGCCACCAACTACCCAGAGGCATTTCACGCGATCTTCGCCACTGGGCAAAGGTTTACCTGCGTCCTCCATCATTTGTTTGTCAATGCAGTGACCAAAATACACAGCGCTGTGGGCCATTTACTAGTTAGAAGATGTTATAAGTCAGCAAGTCACCCCCATTTATGGAATGATAACCCCATTTACAACCATTTACAACCATGAACATAACTCGCATTTCGGGGTTAAGTGCAATGTCTTATCATCTTGACATCATTCTGCCTTGTTTTGGGTATCTCGACATCCACCATTTTGAGACAAACCCATGTACATCTATTTTTTTGTTTATCATATGGGGGTTTCCTATCATCCATTTTAACAAGACTTTGCCATTGTCGACCATCCAGCTATTGTTCCTCCTATGGACAGCCTCATATATTTGCTATATCACAATAATGTTAGTTGATCGTTGCTGCGAAAAAAATCTTGGCTGCTTGGAAAACCCATAGGCTCCCCGTTCAGGTTGGAATCGATGTCATGATTATTTGTTAGCAAATGAAGGAAACATTCTTGGTGGTTTTCCTGAAATAGTGCCAAATAATTCCTGACCAACCAAACCACGCTTCGAAACTCAAAACTTAAGAACATACTGTACTTGCCAATATTTCACAAGACTGAGATAAAAGAAATAGTTACCAAAGTTGGCTAAAAAAATATTATGTCCAATAATTACCTAAAGGAAATACTGTAATTTTCGAGTAATTACCAAAATAAGGGTGCCATGGCCACTGTTGGTTGTACTGCATCTTTGTTTCGCTGCTTTGGCGTACAACATATCCAGGAAAAACAAAAACTCAGTAGTTACGACCTTTCAAACAACAATCCTAGGTTTCCCCAGGTACATGAGTTCTATCCTCTGGTAAACTGCCACATATGGAAAAATCCACCATTTTTAATAAATCAACAATTTCTATGGCCATTTTCAGCAGCTTTTTGTATGTTTACCAGATGGTATTTTTCCAGAAATAAACCATGTTCCATCCATGTTTGATGACACCAAAGGATCCCTTTACCGATCATTACTTACCCTGTATATCCTATCCCCATTTTACCACAGTATTTGTTGGTTAAATCATGTTAAATTCATTTTGTTTGATTAAATCAACAATATATAACCATGAAATTTCCCACCGTTTTCATATCCCCTTGGTTCCATTGGTATGTTAACCAGTATAGCAATATATTTAACATTCTTATACCCTTAACAAAAAATCACCAGTATTCTACCATTATATGCAATTCCTCAAATTATGTTCTCATACTATGGTAGATCATTTTATTCCATATTGTATTTATTGGCCAGAACTGTTATTTTATATAATAAGAAAATACTGCTCAATATATCAATTAACTATGTCAAATAGCAATTCTCAATAGCGATGTTAATTTACCAGAGGGCAGTTTGTAGATTTCCCATAAATGGACATATAACTCCTAGAAACTAGTTGGTCATACATCATTAAAATCCCATTTATAGCTGTTAACTGCATTAACTTGGGATATTATGGTCTTGTGGGAACTTTGTGGAATTTTTGTGTCTGGAGCTCCTGTTAAATGGATAAATGGTTAATTGTGGAGCTGCGATTATAATCAATTCTGGGATAAATGGAATATCATCTTTAGACCATCTATGGTTAGTCATTTATAATGGCGTAATCAATTCTGGGATAGTAATCATTTTGAATATTACTAACCATAAATGGCTAATTATGGCGTAATGGGAATATCATCTTTAGACCATTTATGGTTGGTGGTTTGAACCCCTCTGAACAATAACATAGACCCGGGCAAGCCGGCGGCGGAAGTTTCTCAAACATAAATGACCTATAGTTCAAAGACAACCTGTCCCGACCGTGTCCTTCCCTCGACACTCCACACCTCACACTGCACTCTTCGCACTCCAAACTTCAAACTTCACACTCCTAACTTCACACTCCACACTTCTCACTTCTCACTGCTTCCTTCACACTCCAAACCTCACACTTCACACTTCACACTGCACACTTCACACTTCACAGTCCACACTTCACACTTCACACTTCACAGTCCACACTTCACACTTCACACTTCACACTTCACAGTCCACACTTCTCACTTCGCACTTCACACTTCACACTTCACACTCCACATT